TTTACTGTTACGAAATCATTTCTCAATAAAAAAACAAATAATTTCACCGTTATTCTTTACTTGTTCATATTTGATTTGACATATTTATTTAAACACAATAAATAAAAAACAATTTTGTTATATCACTTCTGCGAAGTATAAATAAATTTAGATACAAAATAATAAATTATAATTTATTTTTATTTTGAATAAATAAAATTACTTTTATTCAAAATTACTTACTATTTTTAATATACTAAACAAAGACGGAGAGAATAGTATTGAAACCTATCCATGGAAGGACTCCAAGAACTTTTAGCCATTGCACTGTAAACACCATTGAAAATTGAAAAACTTCCCATACCTTCCATTAAAAAAATCATTTTTATATTCATTTTTCTACATATATATCATCATATAGATACACTGATTGTTGTATCTATAGCGTTTGCTTCTAAGAAACCCTTATACACATTAAAGAATACTAAAAGATTCAATTTGTTTTGCAATCATCACTTCTTTCTTGTTCCAATCCATTCAAGAAGAAGGTTAATCTGTCCTTTTCACTTCATTTTTTCAAATACCCTTCATCAAGACTCTTCCTTTAAGATGGCTTCTATAACACCCTTATCTCAATCTCAACCCCTTTTGGAGAAAACTCAGTTTACAGTTTTGAATAAGCCTCAAAATCAGTTTTGTTCAATACCCTTTTCAAGATTCACTCAAAGTTCTAATCTTTCTTTGAAAAAATCAAGGATGGTGGTAGTTTCAGCAACAACTGCTGCTGAGAAATCTAATAAGAGGTATCCTGGTGAGGCTAAGGGGTTTGTGGAGGAAATGAGGTTTGTGGCTATGAAATTGCATACTAAGGACCAGGCTAAGGAAGGGGAAAAAGAGCCTGTAGATCAGCCTTTGGCTAAGTGGGAGCCTAGTGTTGAAGGGTACTTGAAGTTCTTGGTGGATAGCAAATTGGTTTATGATACTTTGGAAAGAATTGTGGAAAAGGCTCCTTTTCCTGAGTGTGAGTTTTTCTTAACTTATGTGCATCTGTTAGAGTTCTAATATGTTGTTTTGTTTGGTTCATGGTATTGACAATTGAAAAACTTGACTGATTGGTTCTGCTGTGTGGGGGGGAGGGGGGTAGTATGTTATACTCTTTGAACTTTGGAAACTATGTGATTTTGAGATGAGTTTTTCAATTCTGTTGGTACCTATGCTGCTTTTTGGTAATTGATTCTTTGATATCCATTAAGGGTCTAATATATTGTTTTGTTTGGTTCATGATATTGATAATTGAAAAAGCTTGATGGATTTCTCCTTTTGTGGGAATATATTATACTTTTTAATCAGTTGAGGAGTAGTCTCCGAACCCTCATTTTCTTTTGTTGTAAACAGAAAGTTCCCAGTTGTATAGAAAATCATGTTTTGTAGATTCTTTACTTTTTGGTATATTCCATGTATATGGCCAGTTTGACCATGTTTATGAAGGAATATACTAATACTTGCACTTGATCAAAAATAATTTGCACTCTTTAAACTTTGGAGATCATTGTGGAAAAGGTTTTTTTGGTTTCTATTGGTATTTCGGAGCAACATGATAGAGCAAGGAATTGTTGATAGGTGATGGTTTTATTCAATGGGAGGACCGAGTGTTACCTTTTCTTTTCTTTATCTTTCTCTTTGGAGAAATTTTTCTATCAAGTTAACCTATGAAGAGAACATTGCATTTTGAGTGCCTTTTAATAACGCGAAAGAAGTTTTCTTTTCAAAATTGTATGTTATGCTTAGATGGCCCAAGAAGGATAGCCAAACCTCTGATTTGGGATCGAATAATAGTTAACATCGAGCTGCTGTGACTCATTATTTGTTTTCTGGATAATAGAGAAGCTAAGTTGTGAGTGAAGTACTGAATTTGCTGATGTTTTTATAACCAATCGGTGGCATTTCAGTTTTAACTAATGACCCCAGGGCTGGTCTTCCATGCTTCCTGTTTCTTTTGCTTTGGTTGCTTCAGCTTTATGTTTAGCAATGCTTTTTCACGAATGGAGTTTGCAACATAAATTAGTTTAACTTGCTCTACATACAAAATACTTACGGCAAAGACAACTGATCCGTGCCTTACAATTTCCAAGCACACACTCTCCACATAGATGCATAAATTAATGACTTGGTAGAAAACCAGAATCTTAGTGCTATTTCATTTGACTGCAGATGCTGAGTTCAGGAACACAGGATTAGAAAGGTCTGAGGTTCTAGCAAAGGATTTGGAATGGTTTAGGCAGCAAGGTCATGCCATCCCGGAACCGTCAACTCCTGGTGTCACCTATGCTCGTTACTTAGAGGAGCTATCAGAAAAGGATCCTCACGCATTTATTTGCCATTTTTACAACACCTACTTTGCTCATTCAGCTGGAGGCCGCATGATAGGGAGAAAGGTCAGTGATCTCTTCTTTTAAGTTTTTACTTTTTAGTATTATTCCGCATTGTTAGTCTGATACACGGTATATAAAGCTAGAATTTTATCATAGAAATATGGAATGAACAAAAGCTTAGATGGTTCTAAGTCATAATGAAGGGTATCCTCCGATGACACCCAAAGATGTGACTTTGACACTTAGTTGGTCAATGAGGTGGGAGGAGAACCATGAGGTATCAGGTTCAAATTCTAGCAGAGTAGAGACAAAATATTAGGACCATTTAAGCTTTAGTGGGCAGAGTTACCCAGTACTGTGCTAGTGGGAGGTAGCAGGTACTCGGTGGAATAGCCGAGGTGCTCGCAAGTTGGACCCGACTTCACCGCCATAAAAGGTTTTCTTTTTTTGAAGGGCATCTGAGGCAACTCAGGTGAAGAAGACATTATTTTTGGTTCTCAATAAACTCAAGTCATTACACCCGTGTATAGATTCATATCTTTTCCCCTCTTCGTATTCTGTTTTCTGTTTGCCACTTGAGTTGCCTTTCATAGGCCTTAAAATTTTCTTAATTACGTTTTTCTCTGTTTACCATACTTCCATTCATCCACTCATTCATCCACTCATTAGTACTTCAAATTTGATGGATAGTTGAAATGTGATAAGTTCCTATCTTTATCATCGCTTAGTCTCAAAATGGCAAAATCAACTTAAGTCTGTTGAAATTATGATTACAGTAACAACTAAACTAAACAATGCTGTAAAGATGAAAATTTGAGCTTTCATCAGTGTTAAAAATGCTCGGCAGATGATATATTCAGATTAGAAGAACTGTAAAAATGGAGGTAATCCTATACTGTGGATACAAATTCCTATGTTAGACTAGTACTGCGGTAGAGGTTGTTGTCTCCTTATTGCATAGTTTTTATTCCTTTCCTTCTTCCGTCCTTAGATCTATGAATGTTGCAAGGAAAAAGGCAGTTACTTGTCGACAATCATGCTTCTTCTTTCTTTATAGGTAGCTGAAAAGGTACTCGACAAGAAAGAGCTGGAGTTCTACAAATGGGACGGCGACCTTTCTCAGCTGCTGCAGAATGTTAGGGATAAGCTGAACAAAGTTGCAGAAGTAAAATCCTTAGCCTCCCTCTTGCCTAGTTTTCAACTTTTTAAAACAATAATCATTCTTTCATCTTACTCGTTTTCATTGATGGGGTTAACGACTTAACATGATCCATTTTCGATTCTTTTGCTCAGAACTGGACTAGAGAGGAGAAGAACCATTGCCTGGAAGAGACAGAGAAGTCATTCAAGTTCTCCGGGGCCATTCTCCGTTTGATATTCTCTTGATGCACAACTTTTCGCTTTGTTTCCTTGTTTTAACTTGTACGTTGGATGGTCGAAAGGTCAAATTTATGTGAATATTTGTTTTTCTTTTCGCTTTCATTCTGTCTATGGTGTATAAGAACTTGATTATAATTCAAGTATTACATCATTATTCAACTCTCAAAGTTGCTGCTGCTCAACAATATGGGGCTATCCAACCCATAGAAACTTGGTTGAAGGTATGAAAGTAGAAAATCTACATTTTCTATTTTCTCTATTAAAATGTGGTGCTTGTGTATTGTATTTGACCTAAGAAGCATCGGATAGGTTGGAGTTCTTACCTTCTTGGTGACTCGTTTTTTCAAGAAATATCGTCTTATTTATATGATCGAGTGACATAATATTGATATATTAAAGTACAAAATTAATTTTTAGCTTACATTGATGGGATGAAATTTCACATCTACATATGAGAACATAAATTAACAGAGTTAGCTAAAAAAATAGGATTTATTTTGCCCAAACCACCCAGATGAGCTATATGTTTGAGGCCAATTTGGCCTAATGCAAAATCATTTCATGCTTTATTTCGATGATGACAACAACATAGTTGGTGTAACCCCACAAGTGGATCTGAGAATGTGGTGTATATGCACTCTTATCTTACCAAATGAAGGTAGAGATGGTGTATATGTTGTCTTATATTACGAAGGTAGAGAGACTGTTTCTAGCGGACTCTCGGCTGGCTGACAAAAAATGGCTCTAATTTAATGATTTAAAATTGTTAACTTTCTGACCATTTGATGAAGAGCCACTTCTTGATTCAACTATAGATCAAAAGGCTTGTTGAAAAACTTATATTCCTATTAATGTTGTTTGACTGATTTTGACTTGACATGAAACTTAAAAATTAAAGAAGACTTTTGAATTATGTAATTCTATAATAAAAATACGTAGAATCTACAAAAATGTCTTTTTATCTTGTAGTCTTAAATATACCATCAGTCATATGGAAAGTTTAAATAAGAAGTTGCCCAAAAAAGGAAATAGACATTCTTTTTGGGACTAACAAAAAATGTAGAGTAAGAAAAACAAATTGAAATGGTGATCAGCTTGTGATGTTCAGATCAGCTTGTGTATATCTCGACTACTTCTCCTCGATCTCATATCTCACTGATAATGCCTTAGCAACAGTTAATGTTGGTCTGCAATTGCCCCAATGTTCATTCAGATAAACTCCAATTATGGAATAAGATAAGCAAATGATCAACAAATCAAAAGTCTGAAAGTCTTCAATCCTTAGCTAACATCAGTCTGAATCAGAATCACTTCCACTTAGTTCACATTCAGCTGTAGCAAAAAGAACATAAATGGTCAACTATACATTTGATATACACAAAGTTGAATCGATTTTGGTTCGTGTTTAGTATAGACGGAAGGGTCATAAACACACCTTAAATATTTGGTTTTTCGAATTTCATATCTGAACTATTCAGGTGTGTGAGTTTCCTATCTAAACTATCAGTTGTTCCCGTTTCCTACCTGAATGATGGGGATGTTTCATATAGGAAAAGAGAACAACGGATAGTTAAGGTGTGTGTTTTGATAAATAGTTGGTGATAGTTCAGGTAGGAAACTCACATATCTGATAGTTCATATATGAAACTCGAAAAATGGGGATACTTTAGGTGCATTTTTGACCATCAACTCTTTAATATATAACTTCAAAATTGTTTTAAGTTTCGAAGGAAATTATTGTACTAACCTGGATCGTTGTAAGAACGAACGTCCACAGCTTTGCTTCCTAGGGATTCTTGCTCTTCTTGAATAAGCACAGTAGAAGCCAAGAGTTTTGCAGTACAGTTCTGTAACTCGATTAGTTGTAGCGAGTAAATATCAGCAAACTCAATAGGGATCTCCTCCAAATGAAAGCAATGCCTGATCACTAGATGCTCAAGAGCAGGGAAATGATCATTTGTGGCTTTCCAACATTTCAGATTTGTACCTTCAATTAGCAAAAACTTCAACTGTGGAAATCTTCCTTCAATTGGACGCCATTCTAGGCCATGACAAGCATTTGGTTTCAGCTTCAACACCTCAAGGTTAGGCCATTGCCCTATGATGTTCAACTCCTCCCATGATAGACAAGTTCCGACCAGTTTTAACTTCTTCAACTTTATTGGAAAATGTAAAACAGGCGATTTATGGAATCTTGAACTCCCGTGACTTACCTGATAACGATCAACTTTAACACTCAATGTTTCTAGCTGATGCAGATCAACAAGATGACGGAGGTCCATATCTTCTTCGTGCACTCCATAGTCATACACGTACCCCCGAATACATAATTTCTTAATGTTTTGAAATCTTGAAAGGATCTTCTTAGTGCAACAATAAGGAATCAAGCCCGAAACAGACTGTATGTTTGGCCAAAACAAGTTCGTCTCTCCATCAATGGATGAACTTGGAGGATCTGGCAAATAAAAGTTCCTGAGTTTCAGGTGCCTTAATTGTGTTGTTTCCCAAATTAGTTCCGGGAACTTAATAAATGAGATAACTGGCCCTCGAACGATGAATGTTTGTAGATTCAGTAATCTGCAAAGTCCTCCAGGTATGCCAAAAGAATTACGAGTCGAAAAGGATAGGTACCTCAACAAAAAGAGAGTAAGTATCTGCAGGGGAAAGCTTGAGAAGTACATTGAACTCAAGTCCAAGACTCTGATTAAATTCAAATGACCAAGCTTTAAATTGGAATTGTTACTGAAAGAAGGTGCAGCAAACAGGAAAATTGATCGAATTCTTCTCAAGGGACTCTTATCATCATCGGTAGGCGTCCTAATCAACCAGCAAAGTTTATGTGTAAGGGACCTAAACCAATGCTCATCCTGAAACTCAACATCAGTTTGTTGACTTTTCTGTATGCTAATCCATTGACATCCCACACGAGGAACGGATTCTGTTTTATCATTTCTGATAAACAAAAAGTTTTGGCTTTGTGCTTCTCTCAAGCATAACTCATGGACCAGATCATGAATCCTACATGTCTTTATTTTTCTTCCATCTGCACTTCTTTTGCTAACTAAAACTAGACATCTATCCACGAGATCCTGCAAACGGTTTTTAGCCTCTTCTTCCAAGTCACCCTCCAGCTTCAAGAATCCCTCAGCAATCCATAATCTCACCAATCTCTTCACTGAAATTTCACTGTCTTCTGGAAATATTCCAAAATACAGAAGGCATGCTTTTAAGTCATTAGGCAAGTAGTTGTAACTCAATCCGAGCACATGTAGACATTGTTCATCAGGATCTTTCGTTACAAACGACTTAATATTCTCAGCAACATTCTCCCATTCTTCTTTTGTTCTCTTTGATTTGGAGAGAAGACCAGCAACCACGACAATCGTTAGTGGTAACCCTTGACATTTGCTTGCAATTTTCTCACCTATGGTCTGTAGTTCAGGCGGGAAGCTTTCATTTACAAACGCCTTGCTCTTAAAAAGGTTCCAACTCTCATCTGAATTCATGAGATTCATCTTTAAAAGAAGATTACTTGATCTAGCATAAATAGCTACCTCAGTATGACGGGTAGTCAACAATATTCGACTTCCATTATTATCAATTGGAAAACATTGTTTTGTGTCATCCCATGCTTTATTGCTCCATATGTCATCTATGACAATAAGATACCTCCTACATTTCAATTTTTTCTGTAGTAGGTCTGCTAGCTCATCCTCATCTCTGCTGTAGACTTTGTCATCGATATTGATTATCGACTGAAGAAGACTTAGCAGGATTTCTTTCACATTGTATTCTTTAGATATAGTAGCCCAAGCACGAACATCAAAACGAGACTTAATCGAAGGATGGTTGAAGACTTGTTTTGCTAAAGTTGTCTTACCAATGCCACCCATCCCAACAATTGGGATGACTTTTAGTTCATCTTTAGAGACTCGTCTGAGTTCTTCAAGCATCCTTTTCTTTTCCTTGTCACGTCCCACCATATTGTTCGAAACTTCCAGATTAGGTAATTTTTCTGAGCTACTTGTATCTCGTAACAGGGACAACGTCGATGCTTGGCTACCTTTATGATGTTGAATCTTTTTCGACTCTTTTTGAACACGGTCAATGTCCTTTGCTACTCGTTGCAAGCTCTCACGAAGTTCCTCATGTGCTTTTCCTCTCTGCATTTCATCCTCTGCTATCATAGCTTCTCTTAGTCCATATTCAATTTTGTCTTCTGCGACATTTGCAAATCCCTTTATCCGCGCTTCCAGCTCTGTCATTGCCCTATAATCACTGATTTGTTTCTCAGAGTTCTTGAGAAATGCTTCTATAGAACTGACTTTTTTATGAAGCTCTATGATTTCTTCTCTGTGGTCAAAAGTAAGGGATAACATTGGTGAATCGGACGTCAACAGCAGTTCCATTGTTCTTATAAGGGATGCTATACTTGCATAGGCCATAGGACTTGAAAGCTGCAAGTTGTAGGACAGTAGTGTTACAATAACACGATTTGCGAAGTTGTGAAAAGAACAATAACAACAACAACAACAACATACACAGTGTAATCCTACAAAGTGGGGTTTGGGGAGAATAAAGTGTACGTAGATCCTCAAAAATTAGTGCCTCACCAAATATATTTCTGAAAGATCTGAGCAACATAGATTAGTAACAAAGTGGATTCGTATCACTACCTCGGAAGAAGATTATACATAGCTACAAAAATTCATTTTTATTTGGGAAAATGCATAAGTACCCCCCAACCTATGCCCGAAATTCCAGAGACACATCTAACCTTTACTAAGGTCCTATTACCCCCGAACTTATTTTATATGTAATATTCTACTCCTTTTTGGCCTATGTGGCACTATCTTGTGGGCCCAGCGCATGTTGACAATTTTTCCAAGGATAGTGCCACGTAGGCCAAAAAGGGGTAGAATATTATAGATAAAGTAAGTTCGGGGGGGGGGGGGTAATAGGACCTTAGTAAAGGTTAGGTGTGTCTCTGAGATTTCGGGCATAGGCTGGGGGTACTTATGCATTTTCCCTTTTTATTTTATTTTTCAAGTTCAATCAAAGAGCGGATCTAGAGCACAACCTACAGGTTCACGAAACTACGAAACTGAGACGTGTTTCAGAAGAAATCCTACTAAATATCTATAAATATTTAACTTCAAACGTTAAACTCGCCTCTAATTAACCTTTCAATAGCAGATTAACAATATTGATGAAATATTTTACCTATCAACCAACAACAACAACATATGCAGTGTAGTCCCACAGAGTGAAGTCTGAGGAGGGTAGAGTGTACGCAGACTTTACCTCTATTCCAGAAGTGAGGTAGAGAGGCTGTTTTCAATAGACCCACGGCTCAATGACAAAAAATTTACCTATCAACCAAGTTAATATATTAACTTAAGATTACATACAATGATAAACTTCAAATTCTGAATTTGCCTTAATCGAGAAAAGAGATTGGAGATATGGCATACCTGTAATGGCGAAAAGTTGAAATGTTGTCTGCAATCAAAATTACCAAGTAAGTTCTATATAAAGAGAAAAAAAAAGAGTTGACTTTATAGAGATGGGATAACAAGAGTTGACTTTATAGAGAGGTGATAACTCCAATAATTCCACCTAGGGAAGTGTGTTAATCAAGAAATTAGAAACCAAAAATAAAATATTACAAAATTTATATTAAGTTTTGACATAAACGTGTAACACACGTTCCCAAAAACTAATAGTATATGTAAAATTACTTGAAAATTTTCACTAAATGTTTGACAAATGAATACACATGTATTTAGTCCAAAATACATGGATCATTTAGCAAGAAGAAAATATATTTACGTACATGGTATTATTAAAACAACAACATAAAGCAGTATAGTCCCATATACTGGGGTCTGGGGAGGGTAGAGCGTACGCAGACTACCTCAAAGTTAGAGAGACTGTTTCCGATAAACCCTCGACTCAAGAAAAACAGTTCAGAAAGAGATGCCCTATTATTGAAAATTTAGAGAAATTACATCTCCTTGGAAGCCACAGAATAATGCTAAAACATAGTAATGTAATGGCAAATTTAAAGTTTAAACAGTATGAAAATGAAATCCTTCAACTTCAATCCTTCTTCTCTTGAAGTACTCCTTAGCTAATGCCAGTCTGACTCAAACGCCACTCCCGCACTTTAGCTGTAGGAAAGAAACACAAAAGGTCAGTAGTAGTTTTACACAAGTCACAACTCACAAGCATCCAAAGGCGGATTTCAGTTATGCTTTTGATCATTAGTCATATAGGAAAGAAGCATCAACGGTCAGTTATACGTTTATAAAGCCACAGACATCTTATATCAGCCACAGGAGGACAGGTGTGAGGTGGAATGGAATAAAATTCAGTAACCTTAAGAAATATGTACTTACATGAGATATGAACATCCACTGGATTGTTTCCGATGTCTTCTTGTTCTTGTTGAATTCGTGTGGCAGAATCCTCGAGATGGGGCTTACAGTCCTTTAACTCAATTAGTTTCAGTGAGCTGGTTTCTGCAAACTCAATTGGTATCTCTTCCAACTCAGTGCAATCTATAATCATGAGACGCTCGAGGACAGGAAAACTGTCATTTGTGATGTTCCAGTACTTGAGATGACTGTTTTTAAGAAGTAGAATCTTCAAGCGAGAAAATCCTCCTGAAATCGGATACCATTCTTCGCCTGCAGCATCAAATATCACCTTCAGCACCTCAAGGTTAGGCAATTCACCTACTATATTCAAGTCGTCCCACCTTAGACCAGTTCCGTACAGCTTCAACTTCTTGAGTGTTGCTGGAAAAGCTTTTGCACTTGGAATGGTCACGGGTACGGAATCCTCAAGATCAGCGTAAATAGTAACACTCAATGTTTCAAGATGTTGTAGATGGACAAGATTGTCGAAAAGTCTAGATTCTTGAAAACATTCATAGTCATTATTATCTCCTTGAACTTTTAACTTTCTAACATTCCAAATACCTGATATGACCTCTTTTGTGCAACAACCATGAGACAAGCCCAAAATAGTGTGCATATTTGGAAATCCCAAGTACCTCTGTCCATCAACGGATACAGTTGGAGGATTTGGCAAAAGAAATGAACTCAGTTCGAGGTGCCTTAATTGCATTAGTTCCCAAATTTCTTCTGGATAGATGCCAAAGTCACCTGGACTACCATCAACAATGAATGTTTGGAGATTCCATAACCTACAAATATCTGTTGGTATGTCAAAATCTCCTAACAATTCAAGGTACCTCAACCAAACAAGGCATAGTATCTGGGGAGGAAATCTTTCAAGTAGTACGAAACTCAAGTCCAAGATTCTGAGTAAACTGAAATGAAAAAGCTTTGATTTGAGACTAAAAGTTTCAGAATAACTGTTATAAAAGAAAATAGAACGAGTTCGTTTCAAGAGATTGTTATCAGCATCATCTGTCTTCCTCCTTATCAAATGATGATGTCCCGGTGTAAGAAGGGTCCTATAACGACCAAAGCCACGTTTACCTTCTTTAATCTGTCGCTTAAACGGCCCCATTATATGCTTAAACGGACGGAATTTGTTCTTAAACAGCATTTTATCATCTTCATCTTCAGCCTCTAAATCATCTTCATTGACATCCGAATCATCTTCTTCATCTTCGTCATCATCATCATCCAAATCATCATCGTCATCTTTGTCAACATAATCATATTTATCTTCATCCAAGTTATGATATTCATCCCAATTATCATCTTCATCCAAATTATAATCTCCATCATAATCAACATAGACAATGTCATTCATGACAAAAAGGTTTTGCCTTTGAGCTTCTCTCAAACATAGCTCATATATTAGATCATGAACCTTACAATATCTAACTCTTGTTTCATCCAAACTTTTTTCGCTGACAAGAACTAGACATCTATCAATAAGATCTTGCAAACACTTCTCAGCCACCCCTTCCAAGTCTTTTTCAAACTTTAGGAACCCCTCAGCAATCCACAATCTCACCAATCTCTTCACCGACACCTCACTGTCTTCCGGAAAAATTCCAAAATACAAAAGGCATGCTTTTAGGTCACTCGTCAAGTGGTTGTAACTCAAACCAAGCAAATGTAAACATTGTTCATCTGGATCATTTGTGACAAATGACTTGACATCTTTAGCAACACTTCCCCAAACTTCTATTGTCCTTTTAGATTTGGACAAAAGTCCAGCAACCACGACAATAGTTAGCGGTAACCCTTGACATTGGTCCACAATTTGCCTCCCAACAGTCTCCAACTCAGATGGTAATGCTTCATTTACAAATGCAGCACTTTTAAAAAGGTCCCAACTCTCAACTGGACCCATGAGACCAATCGGCAGAGAGATATTCTTTGTACCAGCAGAACAAGCTACCTCAGTGTTACGGGTAGTCAACAATATTCGACTCCCATTGTTTTCACTTGGAAAGCATAGTCTCAAGTCATCCCACGCTTTATCGCTCCACATGTCATCCAATACAATTAAGTATCTCCGACTCTTTAAACTTTTTGTAGCATGTCTGCTAGCTTTGACTCATCTTCTGTGTTAACCGTGTCATCCTTTTCTTTTGTAGAGTGCAAAAGGCTTACCAAGATATCTTTTACATTATGTTCTTGAGATATAGTCGCCCATGCACGAACATCAAAATGAGATCGAATGAATGCATCATTGAAAACTTCTTTTGCTAAAGTTGTTTTACCAATGCCTCCCATCCCAACAATCGGGATAACTTTGAGTTCACCAGAGAAACCTCTAGTTAGTTCTGTCATCATCTTTTCCCTTTCATCACGACGTCCCACCATATTGTTCTTACCATTCAGAATAACTTTTGCTGAACTTGAAGCTTGAACAAAATATTCCTCTGATGATTGCTTCGCTTTATATTGTGTAGACTCTTCCTGTACGCGATCAATCTCCTCTGCTACTTGTTTTAGACTATCACAAAGCCTCTCGCGTGCCTTCTTCTTCTGTATTTCATTCTTCGCCATTATGATATCTGTTAATCGCAGTTGAATTGTAATTTCAACACCATCTGCAGCTTCTTTTATTTGTGCTTCCAAATCTGTCATTTCCCTAGAAACATTGCTTTTCTCAAATTTCTTGAGAAATTCTTCCAGGGAACCAATTTTTTCGCGAATAGGGTGAAATTCTTCTCCGTGGTCACAAATTTGAGAACGCATTTGTGAATCGGATGTCAAGAGTAGTTGTAGTGTATTTAGAAGAGAAGCAACACTAGCATAAGCCATATCTGCTGTACTCCAATTATCACCTGTAAGCAAAGCAGAGAGATCAGGTAATTTTTCAGTCATTGCCATCTCAAATTCTCAATCACTTAGATCATGTGCATTGATGCAATAACCGCGGTGTTCCACGCCAGCTTGCATGCACTTTAGCTAATTCCAGAGAAAACATGTTACCTCTCACCAACAGGTACTAGGT